TAACCTGAGTGACACCAACACCGATAGCAAGAGCGAAGACGATGAGGATCAACAGTTGGCAGAGCAACAAGTACTTTTAAAACAATTCTGGAGAACATTCAACATCAAGAAAGCTGTGGACTTCTTGGTGGAGGCATGGGATCAGCTGTCTGTAGCAACTGTTCGTCACGCATGGAGACATGTGTTGCAAGGCATTCCGGCCGTTAGGCAGAGTCAATCTGTGACTGGTAAGGTTCAGACTGTTGCAGTAGCAGTGGACCTTGCCAGAGAAGCTGCGCAGAGTGTTACAGCTGCAGGCTTCTCCGAGACCACCAACGATATCCTGGAGGTGATAAGGGATCCTGATGTGACTACCGACGAGATGGTAGATGATGATGACGTCAGTGAAGAGGCAGGTGGTGCGTCATCCCAAGAAGAACACCACTTATCCCATAGTAATGTTAAGGGTGCCATCGAGTGTATCGAGAAAGTCAAGGTCCTCCTTTCCGACGACCCTGACGCAAACAGGTATGAAATGTTCACTACCCAGCTGTTGCAGACTATGGAGCCCTACATCAAGGTTTATCACGACAACATAAACACCAGCCGTCAGCAAAGCATAACAGAGTTCTTCGCCCGCAACCCACCACAGCCAACCCAAGCCAGTGATAGTGACAGAGGCAGAGACAGTGATGATGACTTTGAGGGATTTGTCAGGGAGGCCCTGACAAGTGTGGATGACAGTGATGGTGACTCACCTGAGGGCCAGTAGCCTGCCCTCTGCCTCGGAACCAGCCTCCATTCCCGTTCGCCGACCCATCTCTTCTACTAACGTAAGTGTTAACCCCAACCTTTATTTTTCCTAACTTAACCTTTATTTTTCCTAACCTAACCTTTATTTTTCCTAACCTAACCTCTTCTATATTAATTGTGTGTGCATACCATCATAAAGTTAAGATAATATTTTTACTACAACATAATTGTGTGTCGTCAAAAAGTGGAGTTTGGGGGTCAGCCGGTCTCTATTTCAATTAATCCCATATGTTATGTTGTTCACTTTATGCGTTTCTCACTTTCCGCGGTACCCTGTGGGTTGTATTAACCGCGTAAAGTGAGGGTTCAATGTACTTATAATATAAATAAAAAAAAAAAAAATAAATAAAATAAATAAATATTGAAGTGATAACCGTCGTAACATTCTGAGATGTTCTTATCACCACCATGCTATTGTACTATTCCAGATGATACTAACTGTTACATAATACTTCCTTGAGATAAATGTATAGTATATATCAGGTGCCTACAGGAGAGCTCGGGTTCTCAACTGGCTGAGCCATGTTAATATTGCTATTATTATCCACTCTGTATCTGTGTTTTTCTGGCTAAATAAACTGTTTCAATTCAATTCAATTCAGCCACTGATGATCTCCCCGGGTTTTGCAGTTTTCGCCAGCATGACGTCACCCTCATTTCCCCAGATGTTCAACCCATAAAACAATCTGCTTATCGCCTTAATCCTATAAAAAGAGAAATAATGAAAAAAGAGGTCAAATTTTTATTATAACACTCGAGCCTCTCCCGTGAACCACAAAGGGAACGAGGGGCCTGTATCTCGCCCTGTAAAGCAGTTCACTCTCATCCTCTGTCCTGGAACAGTGACTCGCCCTAAGGACCTTTACCTTCCCCGGGTTCCTGCGCTTCAAGTGACCGCCTTAATCATCCCACGTACAGTCACCCAAAAAAGTCCTGTCGCGAACCATGAACCCCGAGATTCAGACTCTTGAATCCAAAGCATTTATGGACAGAATAATGTATCAGTGTCTACTGCTTCGGGTTCACGAGTCTGAATTGTGGTTCGCGACATGACTTTTTGGGTGACTGTACCATAACATTCATCGCAGAGAGAAATAGATGGCTTAAGTTTTTCTCTGGCTCCTCTTTGCTCTTGTCCCCCATGTTTTAGTTTGTATCTAGTTAGGATATTTATATGTTTAGTTAGGGCATTGGTGTAAGGTTAGCGGTTAGGATTTATTGTCTTATTTATTAACTACTATTGTTATCAAATATTAAAACTCCGGCACTGGTGTAGGGCTAGCGGTTAAAATTTGTCTTTATAATTAGTCATTATTGATATTAAATATTAAAAACTCCTCCTTTGTATAATGTCCACCCTTTTCCCCCTGGAATCTTTCTTAAATTACCTTACTTTTGTGTGTTGAAATACAAGGTTAGTGTAAGATTTTGTGGGGGCAATTTTATTCACATGGTCACTCTGAAGAATAATTGTAGCGAGAGTTTATGTATTTGACTTAAGCAGTTGATGCATGAGCTAGTATGTGTGTATCTGTATGCATGCATACATACATTCATTGTGTGTGTGTGTAATAATAATAATAATAATAATAATAATAATAATAATAATAATTAACGGTTTATTGAAAAAGTTCTGCAATCCGAAGGCTGAAAATATACATTGGACATAAATGACTTATTACATACATTGGTGGTTTAACAAAAGCCTTCATTAGAGAAAGGTAAAGGAACATACAGTGAACATACAGATTAATGTAGGTGTTGAACAGCAAACACGTAGTGTAGTAACTCCCTCCCAGATGGTGTTAGGAGGGACCTCACGTGGTCTGTAGTAGTTCCCTCACAGATGGTGTTATGAGGGACCTGACGTGGTGTAGTAATTCCCTCACAGATGGTGTTATGAGGGACCTGACGTGGTGTAGTAATTCCCTCACAGATGGTGTTATGAGAGACCTGACGTGGTGTAGTAATTACCTCACAGATGGTGTTATGAGGGGCCTCACGTGGTGTAGTAATTCCCTCACAGATGGTGTTATGAGGGGCCTCACGTGGTCTGTAGTAGTTCCCTCACAGATGGTGTTATGAGGGACCTGACGTGGTGTAGTAATTCCCTCACAGATGGTGTTATGAGGGGCCTCACGTGGTGTAGTAATTCCCTCACAGATGGTGTTATGAGGGGCCTCACGTGGTGTAGTAACTCCCTCACAGATGGTGTTATGAGGGACCTGACGTGGTGTAGTAATTCCCTCACAGATGGTGTTATATGAGTGAGGTGTGGTCCCAGGCCTTCCTATCGTAGACGGATTAACACATCGCTGGTTGTTGTTGGGTCTCACGGGTCGTTATCACTGGGTACCTGGGACCTCACTGTGTGAAGGTTAACTTGGGTATGACTGTTACCGTTGAGTTGTTCTCACTGACTTAAGCACTGTTCACCACTGTTCACCTCTGCGCGACCTTGGTCTGTCCAATGCCGTAATTAAAAACATTCAAGTCAGAATCATGAACTCTGATCTAGAAGAAGTGAGAAATGCAGAGAGACCTGACAGTTGTAGCATTAGTAAATATGACAAATTTTGTAACAAGAGGTACCGGTATGGCCAGCATAAGGACAGAACCAGACAATGTGATGTAGTCATGGCCAGAATTAGGCTAGGATACAGACACATCTGGCAAGTTAGTAACGCTGTACCCATACCGGAACACTCAGCATGTAAACTTTGTGATAAACCTTTAAAGCATACACTTGAACACTATATTATTGAATGTGACACTGTCAAAGACTTCAGGCCACCTGACTTACTGTATCTTGAACTATGTAATTACTTCATTGAATCAGATGTGCTTGAGGACATTCTTGCTGTTTATCCCAAATTTGCTAGCCCACACTGATTAGTCTTCAATTAGAATATGACTCCAATGTATGTGATCCACTGACCTATATATGCTGCTGGTGAATGTGATGTATTTCCTTCTTTGTGTACGAACCTCTGTCCTGCGTGGCAGTGAACAGTGGCATTACCCACATGAATCTGACCTATATATAGTGTCAATGAATATGATGCATTCTTTGTGTACGAACCTCTGTCCTGTATGGCAGTGAAAAGTGACATTACCCACATGAATCTGACCGACGTATATGTATGTATGTGTGCGTGTGTGCATGTATATGTACGTGTACATGTATATGTGTATGTATATACGTATATGTATGTATATGTGTGTGTGTGTGTTTACATATATGTATATGTACTGTCAATGAATATGATGCAACTCTTTGTGTACGAACCTCTGTCCTGCATGGCAGTGAACAGTGACATTATCCATATGAACCTGACCTATATACATTTATAGTTGTTAATGAATATGATGTATTTCTTTGTGTGTGAACCTCTGTCCTGCGTGACAGTGAGAAGTGATACCACCCTCAGTGTCAAGACCTGACTGAATTACTCAGAATAGGCAAACTGTACTACAAGCTCTGCCAATAAATTTGTTAAACTAAAAAAACTGTTTAACATTGGTTTCATTCCTTTCCTAAATGAAATTGTAACTTCTGGCGAGAACTTGTTGATATTCCGGTGGGGAGGAGGGTTCACGGGAGGGGGTTGGTATGGGCCAACTTAACAGTTGACCTGGCTGCTCCGAGAGGAGCGCCAGGTACGTCTTGACCCTTCGGTGTGTGTGTGTGTGTGTAAACAAAATTTAACGTATTTTCGAAAATTATCTACTCTATAATACTCATTTATATGTTTAGATATGCACATTCCTTACATACGTGAGTATCCTGGACATTCTCGTTTACGTGTGACCTATATTAGTAATTCATTAAAGAATTGCTTTACTTTATTTAAGAGAATGAGAGGGGAAGGTGGTTGTGAGGTAGGGGTAGCGAAAACGAACGGTGCTGCAAGGGAGAAGGGGGAGGGAATGGTAAGGGGGGTAAACAGGTGGGAGAATACCGCTAGGGGGGAGAAAATTCCACCAGGTCACTTGTTTGCTAACACGGATACGAAGAAATCCATTTGTTACGTTTTCCTAGTTACATATTTTTTTATAAGTATTCTCTACAAATAGTAGCCTCTCCGTTTTTGGAGTTATATTTGGTAAACAATAATTTATTAAAGCTCCATTAAAAGTGACAATGAAGGCGGAAGAAGCAGTCCTCGTACATCTGGAAGCGCGGCCCCTCAAGGGTTCCTCAGCAGTGTAGACTTGTAGGCCAAGACTGCCTCCACTGGAGCTCCTTATTCCTCACCTGTTTTACTCTTAGATATGCCTTTAAGTTGGCCAAGTGTGTGACCAAATAGTAGATAATATATTAACAAGTGCCCACAATGTCCGAAAAGTAAGCGAAGAAAAGGAAAATATGTGGTAAAGAAGAGTGTTTGTGATAAAATTATGTGCTGCTCACGAAGCTGTGTTCCGCAAGAACCTGTTTTACCTTTCTCCAGCAGCTGATTCATACAGGTAAAGTCACTCTGGAAGGTAAAGCCACCAAACTGAAATCTGTGCTTACAATAAAGCAGTATAATGATACCAAGTGAATATCCATGTCTTTTTGTAGAAATTGTAGAATTCTCTTGCCTGGCAGTATATATAGGACACGGCTTAGCACAGTGAAAAGCTATCAAATAATATACAAAATTCATTAAAACTTCGTCAAAACTTAACTCTTTTGTTTTATATTATGTTAAACAGTACTGTATATATATAGCACAGATAAGAGCTATAAGATAGTACAAGGAGCGTGACCACACCCAATAACTCAAGACAAGCGAGAAGGATCTTTTTTATCAAAGGTTACCAAAAATACCGCAGCATTAAATGGAAGTTTCAAGGTTTACGTATCCCATTAGATCATTGTTGGTGATAATAAGATGAATTCTGAGTACATATTATACTGTTACAGTGTACATTTATTCATTTGTTTTATAACGAATTAAAAATAACAGCTTACACACACATTATATATACTGTATATATACATATATTTATATGCTGATAACCACAAGGAAACAAGCAAACACGAAATTCCCATGCGCTTTCGTGTAATTCATATATATACCTGTATATATATATATATATATATATATATATATATATATATATATATATATATATATATATATATATATATATATATATATATATATATATATATATATATATACTGATGTCAAGGATATGAGTTGTAGACTTCAACGCTGTCAGATAAGGATCCATTCCGCCCCAACACTTTAACAAACTAGGCATTTCCAATAAATTTGGGTCGCCATTTATATAATTTACTTATTCATTTTCACTGATAATCGTTTTATTCAACTTTAAAATGCAAGTAAAGTTCTTGCCAAATAAGGATAACTTTTAGTTTTTATGACTATGCCTTGATGTAAATTAGTTCGCATATGGTGAAAGATGCTGTTTCATTTAAGTTGTCATAACATAACCAAAATATACCTAGATTAGGTAATATAAGGCTGGGTTATGTTATTTTTTATTAATTTATAGTATGTATGATTATCTAAATGATCGTCCTCGTATTTTCACGAAAAAATTACATTTATAATTTATCGCTATTTCGTAGTTATTCCTTAAACTGATAATCCCAGCCCCTCGTACACATACTGTATGTGTAAGGAGGTAGGGGGGGGGGCAGTTTAAATACTGTACTTCTTATTCTGATCGTCAGCCAAGCCATAGTTTTACCCAACCAACAGTTTGAAGAGTGAAGTCTAACCAAATATACGAGTACATCTTATGAACAGTCAAGTTCTTATTCTCCTGATGACACATAACCTGTTAAACATGAAGTGAACTTCACTATTCAGAATAATCAGGTGGTCTGAGACCCCATTCCTTCACCAGTTTAACTGAAACTACTAATGAAAACTAGTTCATAATGACTGATATGTGTACTACTTTGCATATCATACTGGTGGTTTAATTGCTCCACTTACAAAGTATTGTATGTACTGAATGCCTTATTACCTCAAGTACCAAGTCTATATTTAATACGGTAATTACTCTACTTTCTAGCTCGTGTGCACTAGTTGTAACAATTGTAAAACTTTCAAATGCCCCTGATACAAAGCCAAATATTGTGTGGCATTGTAAGGTTCAATGAAATTTTCAACTTAGAGTAAATAAATGAAAAAAGAAATAAATGCTCTTACTATAGTGTACTTTTTGTTCTTCTGATTACAGTATAATTAAACTTGCATCGCCTCAATTATTTTGTCATTCGATATGCTATACCCCCGTAGTGATTTTTTTCCACGGAACTCTCCCTGGTGTTCTTTAACTGTTGTTTGATTAATGTTGATTATATAAAATTGTGTCGTGTTTTGCGAACACAGGGGACTCTTTTCCTTGTTTGTATATTTGTTTCAAATCAAATTGTATCTGAATATTTCTCTCGGTTGTACAGACCGCCGATTGCTTTTCAATATTGTTTTGGCTTGTTTTTATGTTTGGGTAAGTTTAAGCCTATTGAGAGTGGTAGCGACCACTGACTATTGTTTGTGTATTAATTGACCCATTGTAATTTCGATGTGCCGGCGATAATTATATACTGTACACTATTGGCATATTTTTATATCAACAAATTCATATTTTTACCCTACAGCTTTCCTTTTATTTGAGACTTATTACTTATTGAGAGAGCTGAGAACGAATGTGTGTTCCTTTTGTGCATTGAATTAAAACCAACTAGCCGTTAGAACGTTGGTTAGTTTTTGTTTAAACCACGGAACTGTGCTCAAATCAGTTAACGGGTTGACCCTGGAGAGCCTTACCTAAGTAACGGTACAAGGCTACCCTGTTGCTCTCAGTTCTCTCACGGACGAAATTAAACTTTATACACACTTTCACACTAAGGCATGTGTAGGTTTCATTTAATTACATAACCTTAAATTTGGGATTAATTCCGCTGAGTGTGTTGCTCGGCGTTAAACTTTAGACATACTGAACAATCTTTTAACACGTAAACTTTGTATACGTGAACTGAAATTTTCCACTTTACAGGTAAAACTGAGTATTCACGTACGTATCCTATAATCTGTTGATTATTTAATAAGTTGAAGAGTAAACTTTAAATATGTGGACCTAAATGACCTTCATAATTGTATCAATGGATATAATATACATATACAGTACCAGTCTTGAATCTGATGGATATACCGTACCCTAATAATCAGGTTTATAAATATTTTTGTCTGGAAAACAAACTATTCAGATCAATCAACACTGATATACGTACAAACCAAGGCGCTTGTAGTATCATGACATACATTGCAGTACACTGTACTGACATATTTGCCCCTTGGGCTGGACAGTGGTGAGTGGCGGCTATTGACTTCCGTCTTAGCAGGTCACGCATGGTTCGTGGGGTCCAAAGACATGATAGAAGTCTGGTGACTGAGAACCGTTTTAACGCTTTTAGGCCTCACAACACAGCTTTTCTTCACCAAAGACACGAAAAGAAACATACACACTAAACACGCAGTTTTATCTCCCATAATGCATTATAAAATCAACAATTTTGTATAACACTGTACATAGAGATGACAAATAAATCTATAAACAACGAATTATATATGCACAGTATTCGGTTAAATGTGTACCATTAATGATTTACACAAAGTCGCTAAACTGCGTACAGAATGCATATTGAAATGAAAGGGTAAAAATATCTTGTCATTGTTCATGCGTTGGCAGTTTTAATGTTTAGGTTAAATCAGGCGAGGTTTATGTTTCAAACTTTGGCACCTGCTAATGTCCAAGCTGATATAGGTCATTTTAGATTACCATTTTTTGCTTGTTTCCGTTCTAATTTTAAATCACACACACACACACACACACACACACACACACACACACATATATATATATATATATATATATATATATATATATATATATATATATATATATATATATATATATATATATATATATATATATATATATATATATATACTGTACATGCATATTGTTTTTATGTTTGGGTAAGCTTAAACCAAGAGATGTTATTTGGTTGTTTTTCGTGTAGCCTATATAAATTTGTGCCTATTTGTGAGATACGCAAAGTATAGAAAGCGAGAGAAAATACATACCTATATCTCCAGGGGGCAGTTTATAACACTGTGTAGAGAGAGAGCGCGTCTTGGAGAGACTAGGCGGAGCTAGCTTCCCGACAGGACAGTTTCCCACCAGCTTAAATTTTATAAGTCCGTATAACCTGTAGGTAGTTTAGGCTAAGTTTGGGATTAGGTTAATGCTTAAGTTTTACTTGGTTAGGTCAGGGGTTAGGTTAAGTTATCTTAAACTAAGTTCGGTTTACTTAGATTCGTAAAGTTTAAATTAGAGTAAGGATAGGGTGGAATTAACTTTAGGGTAGCTGGATAGGTTAACTTAGCTTAGGTCAAATTGTGTGCTGGGTTAGATTAAGCTAGTCTTGGTTATGTTAGGTTTAGTTTTGGTAGGTTACGTCTGAGTTTCTCCTATTACAAGAGCTTTTACCACTGTCACCCACAACAGAAAACTCATATTTAGGGACCTGCCGAGTGAAATGTGTATCTAACTGCATGGTTGCCGAAATTATGGCAGTCGAGTGAATTGAATGTCAAACTGAATCCTAGTGTAACGGAGGCTTTTTATTCAGTGTGTGTTTGTGTATTTGAAACCGGGTCAGTCCGTGAGAGTGGAGGTCATCCAGTTTGTAGGTGCTGTCCCACGGTCACTTTCCAGTACTAGCTGCCTGTTGCCAAATGTCACAAGGTGTAATATTAACACAGATTTTTTCAGTGTTTAGTTCTCGCTTATCTGTTTCATTGAGTTATTTGACTCGAATTCAGGATATAACCAGTCATTGATATTTGAAGATTTCCCTATAAGCTTCTGTAGTATCGCTTTCAGCCTATCTTGTCTCTGTGCATCCAAACTTAGTTTCATTTATTTGTCTTGTTTATATATATATATATATATATATATATATATATATATATATATATATATATATATATATATATATATATATATGTGTGTGTGTGTGTGTGCGTGTGTGTGTGTGTGCGTGTGTGTGTATGTATGTATGTACTATGTATGTAATATAAACGGAAATGCATAGTTACATCCACATACATATGCATTTGTATACTTAGCATAATTATTTACAAACTGTCTTCATATCTTATTATCATTTCAATGCAGAAACTCATGTGCTCCTAGACGGGCAAGGGGTGACCTAATTGAGGTGTATAAATATCTCAAAGGGCACTACTCAGTCTAGTGTCCATACCTGGAGCTGGCAGACACCCGCCCCACAAGGGGTCACAGCTCAAGGTTGAAGAAGCCCCAAGTCGTGAAAAATGTGAGGGAGAACTTTTTCAGAGTCAGAATTGTGAACTCTTGGAACAACCTGCCAGAGAGTGTTGTGACGGCACCGAGTGTGAGCTGTTTCAAGACCA